GCATTTCCTCCACCTGAAGGGGGGTGATCGGGCGACTCTTGGAATTTGGAGTGAAGAAGGACATAATTGGCACTGTTTGGCTCCTGATGCACGGACCATGTCGAGGAGGAAGCAGCCGAACCCCCAGCACCTCCACTCCGAGGGCCAGCACCAGCCGCTGGAGGCGTGCGGTGAGTACAGGGGCCCCCTCTTTACTTCTAGTTCAGGGAGCCTGACCCCCACCCAGGAGGATGACCATACAATGCATGGCTGGGATGTGGGCAGCCATGGACGATGTGCTCGGCACGGCCACCGATCTCTGATTGTTACCTGCCGGCGGCACTTCGGATCTCTCGGCTGCAACAATGTAACAAGTTTTCTGGGGAACTATATCCGCTCCCGGCGGACGAGGAGCACTCGGGTCCGGGGATCGCTGGCTGTCCCATATCAGGACCGCTACAGGCTCCACCTGTACAGGGACTTCTGTGGATGGGGACACCAGACCCCCATGGAGGCTGCCTGTCCCAGCCGGAGACCCCTGCAGCTGATGCCATGTGACCCTGCAGGGATCTAGTAAGCGTGGATGAGTCCCTTGGACCCCCGGATCCCATGTCCTATCCAGCCTGCCTTCTATCCTCGTCGCCGCATCCCCTCTGATCATTAGTTCGTGCACTCCTTTCCCGATTAAATAACTACGACTTTTCATTTTCCTAATTTGGGGTTTTTTGTTTTTTTTTTTACTTTTATGTTCAACATTTTAATTGTTTAAAGGTTTGTATGATAAATATGTATTATTTATAATATAATTTTTTATTACATAAACTTTTTATATATATAATTTTGTAAAAAAAAAATTTTTCTTTTCTTTTAATATGTTGTATATTTTAAAGTTAAAAAAAAAAATTATATTATCCCCCCCTCTTCCTTCGCTTTTTTTTTTTTTTTTTTCTTGTATTCCTTATATCCCTATCTAATATAATCTAGTATGTACTTTTTTTTTTTTTTTTTTTTTTTTTCTCCAGGGTTGGTTTATTTGTGAACTTTGCACAGTAGGTTAATTTTTGTGAAGTTTTTGGTATTTTTTTTTTCTTCCTAGACTCTAAGTGCATACATGTTTTCTTATCTTGAGATTGTGTTTAAGGGTCAGTTACTATTAACTCCAGAAAACTGGCTGGCCCAGGAGGTCATAAATGCCAGATTTTTAATGCACGCCTGTTTCCCTTTGTGCATATGGTTTGGGTGGGGGGTGGAGGGTGCTGTTTGCACATGTAAATCTTCTTGCACACTGCTGGGGTCCCACCCCTAATAGCAGTATAATCAAGTATTCTATTGCCAACAATTCTTGCCTGCAGATCCCCCTCTGGAAAGCTGTGTAAAGCTTCTGCTGATTTGAGGTTGCTAATGTGAGTTTTGAAGACTTTTTTTTTTTTTTTTTTTTTTTATTTCGTTTTCTTTTTTTTTTTTTTTTTTTTTGCCTGTTTTTGACATAAGCTTTTAGGAAGAACTTTTTCTATTTTTATGTTCAGGTTTTACTGAGATGACTATTTTGGTGCTGCTGACTACTGAACTGTAAGCTTTGATTTTCTATCTTGTACTCTGGCGCCACCCTCAGGGAGACTTGATGAATAGCTGCAGGTAGTTTGTATTGTGCTTTCGTTTGCCTTGTGCTGACCTAGATCCAGTCTATCTGAAATGGTTTACTGTTCAGTAACTGAACTTTTTTCTCATTTTCTGATTTTTCTTTTCACCAACTTTTTTTTTCTTTATACTCCTTTACATTTCCATCTTGGACCCTCCTGTAAGAACAATGGAATCTTATTTACTCTTTTGAGCAGTTCTGGTGAGCAATTAACAGGTCAGGAAATCGGTAGGGGGTATGCAGGGTACAATGGTACATATTATACATTAGCATTTTAACAAAGGAAGGTCAGAAGTGGCTTTTTATAATCCAGCATTGGGCTAGTGTGATGGCCAGGAGTGTCTAGCTGTAAATTCTTTCTACTTTTGTCCAGTTGCACGTCTCCCACATATACAGGCTATCCTGTACTTTATGTCCAGTTGCATGTCTCCCACATATACAGTCTATCCTGTACTTTGTCCAGTTGCACGTCTCCCACATATACAGTCTATCCTGTACTTTATGTCCAGTTGCATGTCTCCCACATATACAGTCTATCCTGTACTTTATGTCCAGTTGCATGTCTCCCACATATACAGTCTATCCTGTACTTTGTCCAGTTGCATGTCTCCCACACATGCAGTGTTTTTTTTTTTTTTTTTTTTTTTTTTTTTTTTTTTGAATTTTCTAAAATAAAAAGTAGGATCCTCCCCAAAGGTTGTAGTAATAAGAAGTAAAAGTTGGCTCTGTGTACAGTATGTTGGGTTTAGGCCAATGTGGTCAGATGTTTGCCATCACCCTTCTGATATATTGATGCTTACAGACCAAACCTTTCACAGCAGGAGTTGGAGATCTGATGATAAGACACTTTGTGAACAGATGGCTCAACAGAAGTGTGCAATTCTTGTGTGAAAAGCTGCATTGGGGTGCCTGTACCAGTTCTACAGCTTAATAAAATTTTGGCAAGAATGGCAGACTACTGTAAGGTTGCATCTTTGACTTTTGCAGGTCTTTAAGTTAAATGGTGTATCAGGTCTGTTTTGAATGTGGGTTATGCATGGGCCTATGTCACTTAAAAGTTCTGGAGACTGTTGCGCGCTTGATGGGTAAACATGAGCATTGCTCTTGGGTAGGGTAAGGACCCCCTTGTGGACCAACGAGCCCTTTTTTTTTTGCTTTTTTTTTTTTTTTGCACTGAAAGTTTACCGGGAAACCAAATCTTTCTTTTTAGCTGTCCTCCTGTGACAAGGCTTGCTGCTGTAACCTTTGCCTCCTCCTGCCTACTGTGGGTGGTAAGCTGATGTCAAGCTTACAATTAGGGCTCCTGCAATTGACCTTGGCAGCAGGGTTTGTGTCTTAAACACCAGTATTAGTGTGAAGGGTAGTTTGTGACTGCTTTTGTTTATGATCCCCCCCCCAACTTGCTGGCGGTGATTGATTATATAATTTTTTTTTTTTTTTTTTTTAAGGATTCCCTGATATTTCCTTGTAAGGTCAGTCAGTATTATTTTTTTTTTTTTTTTTTTTTTTTTTTTTTTCCTTGTAGCGAACAGCCACTTATAGCAACACATCTTTCTACATGATCAGCCCTCATGGGTTACATAGGTGTTTGACTAATCCATCCTAACACCTTAATCTGGACATATATTATACAATTTTCTTCAATTTCCTTTTAGATTTACTTTCAACTATGTAGAGCAAGGGTTAACCTGATGGCATAGAAGTTTGAAATTGTTGGTGCTTGACCTCTTATTCTATGGCGTTGGTAAATCTAAAGCAAAATTGTACAACTTTTATAGTTGCCAAATACAATATGTTCCAAGAGCAAGCCTTGCACATGTTTAGACGTGTGCATTACCTTACCACCATCATTGTGGCTCTGCTATTACTGTCCTAGAATGGCTTAAATTCAGTAAACACATTAGCATAAATAACAATAGCACTGTAAATTTTTTTTTTTTTTTTTTTTTTTTTTTTTTTTTTTTCCCAAAATCCATTTGGTGGTGTTTTAATCTAAACCCCTGCTGACTTCACTGCATTCTTCTAACTTATTGGATAACTAGATGCTGAGAGATAACATTCCACAAATTCAGGGGTGGAGAGATGGAAAAACAGTTGAACTTTCTGGTTCTCTGCTTTTATCATTAATGAAAAGGCACTACCCCCATCCCCCGTTATTTAATCATAGGCTATAGTTTTCATTCTGCTGTGTAGCCAAACGTTACTGTTCAAAGAGTTGAACAAAAACCCTAAACAACAACATGCATTAATTTCTATAATATAATAGCTGATTTGATTGTATATTTCATATTAAATTATATATATCTTTTTTTTTTTTTTTTTTTTATTACTAGTTTTATTGTGTAGTTTGTGGGGTTTTTTTTGTTTGTGTGTGTGTGTGTGTGTGTGTGTGTGTGTGTGTGTGTGTGTATATATATATATATATATATATATATATATATATATATATTATTATTTATTTTATTTTTTTTATCTTCATTTTGAAAGCATTTGGCAACTGAACTTTAGCTACTTGTGAATATGTGTGTACTGTACATGTAATTTATTTTTTTTAGATTTGCAGGCCTCCTTTCCAACGGTAAAAATAATAAAATACTTTTATGCACTTCTTAGCATTGGTGCATAAGAAAACCTGCTGGCCTTGTGCTGTGTATGTCTTTCCACCTGTTGTGGTTGCATCTGATGAAACATGTCAGCAAGTCTAGTCTCACAATGCTTGCATATGTCTGCTGGCAAGTACACAATGTGGTTAAGCTATCCTTAGCCAGTCAGAGTATAAATGTTAACAGCCTTGTGTAGTTGGACTAATGAAATCTGATTTTTAATTGGATACCCTTTCTGCCAATTAGGCTCCCCCCATATTATGGGGTGTTTGTTTTTTTTTTTTGTTTTGTCCCCCTAGATTATTTTACCTTTTTCAGGGTTGTTTATCAATGTTGGATTTTTCTTTAGAAAATAGGCAATTAAACTGCTATAGTACCATCTATATGATGCCTACCGATTAACTTTTCAACAACACTGTGGTTAATGAAATGTCACATTTTGTGGTGTATAGTTGGTTGCTGGCTGCACTATCTCTGCTGGGATAACACAAGAACATTGCATTTGTTCATCTTCTATATCTTCTTTTTTTTTTTTTTTTTTTTTAAATATTTTCAAAACTCAAATGTATTGATTAAAATAATAGGTTATTATATATATATATATATATATATATATATATATATATATATATATATATACATTTTTTCTTTTTCTTTTTTTTTTTTTTTTTTTTCCTTCTCTATACTCTGCCTAATTTTCATTATTTTGTTATCTTACAGCTAAGCAGCAAGATTCAAGTGATGGCGTAGACAGTGAAAAGATTGTGAAGCGATGCAGGATGGAGGAGACTCATGTCTGTGACAAGTGCTGTGCAGAGTTCTTTGAACAATCTGAGTTCGTTGAGCATAAGAAAAATTGCACAAAAAATCCACCTGTCCTGATAATGAACGAGTGTGAAGGAGAATTGCCCTCGGAGGTCTACCCAGGGTCTATCCCCAAGAGCACCGAGGAGGAGATATCTGAGAATAAAGTGGTAAAGGGTGCTGGTGTTCCTGCTGAAAGGATGGAGGGGGAATCTGATTCTGTTAATAAAACAGTCCCTCGAGCAGCTCCGAAGGCTAATGGATTTGGCTTCTTGCCTAAAACAAATGTCTCCAACACTAATGTGACTTTACAAACTATCAATAGTACTAAAGCAGCTGTTAATCAACATGCATCGGATGGAACTAGTGCTCCAGCAAACAATGCAAATGCCATCCCAATGATCCTTGAACAACTAGTGTGCTTACAACAGCAGCAGCTACAGCAGATTCAGCTTACTGAGCAGATCCGTATTCAGATTGCTATGATGGCTCCTAATTCCCTGCATCCATCTCTAGCTGCTGCCACTGACCCATTGAAAGCACTGGGTGCTCACCTATCACAGCAGCTCTCTGCAGCTGTTGCTCTGATTGGACATAAAGCTGGAACGCAAAACCTTACTCTCGAGACACTTAAGCAGTCAAAGCTACCTCACGTCACCCTGCCTATTCCAACTTCTGGCGCTGTGCCGATCGCCCTTTCCAATCCAATGTTAAAATCTGAGGTCAGTAAGGTTATGCCCACTTCTGTGGCCAGGTTTCCAAACCCTGTCCTACCTCATGCTCCTGGGACTGTAATCTTCCAGAATCCACTCAATCTCCTTGACCCTAATAAGAAACTGAAAAGCAAATTTCCAGGTGTCCCTATGTCAGAAACTAAACTGATTGCAGAGGACCAATTCTTTAGACATAAGTGTAAGTTCTGTGGCAAAGTTTTCGGCAATGACAGCGCATTGCAAATACATTTACGTTCACATACTGGTGAAAGGCCTTACAAGTGCAACATCTGTGGCAACAGATTTACAACAAAAGGTAACTTGAAGGTTCACTTCCAGAGGCATAGAGAAAAATATCCACATATACGTATGAATCCCTATCCTGTACCAGAACATCTGGATAATGTTCCTACTACAAGTGGGATTCCATATGGCATGTCTGTTCCATTGGATGAGTCTAATGTAATTGTGGATACCAAGCCTGTGTTGACTAGTCTTCCCAATCCAGGACTAACTATACCAAATGTTTCCAGTATAGGTGAGTCGGGATCAACCTTCCCACTCAACATACAGTCCAAGCTGTCACCAGGCAGTGAAGGAGAGTCTGTGTCATCTGGAGCTGTTGGCCATGAGTCTGGCACTGATCAAAGTCTAAACTCTCCTCCTGCTAGTGGGTCCAGTGAGCAAGGTTCAGAAACGAGCAAGCTACAGCAACTGGTAGAAAACATTGATAAGACTGGTTCAGATCCCAACGAGTGCTTGATTTGTCATAGAGTACTAAGTTGCCCTAGCTCGCTGAAAATGCACTACCGCACCCACACCGGGGAACGACCTTTCAAGTGCAAAATCTGCGGACGAGCGTTCTCCACTAAAAGCAACCTTAAAACGCACTATGGTGTCCATCGTGCAAACACGCCTCAAAAGATGCATTCCTGCCCTATCTGTCAAAAGAAATTTACCAATGCAGTGGTCTTGCAGCAACATATTAGGATGCATATGGGTGGACAGATTCCAAATACACCTTTACCAGAAGATACATGTGAAGATGGGGAACTTGATCCTTTAGTGATTGATGAGAAGAACGGAGATTTGAACAGCTTGACAGATGAAAATGTTGATGACATTGACATGGAGGAAGACCCTGAACTTGCAGATGCTCCTTCAGGTTCTAAGCCCCCAACCCCGCAGAGTGATGGTCAAGTGGAATCTCCAAGCATGCCGCTCTCTGATCTTTCATCTCAGGACAATCAGATGTCTATGCCTCCGGGACTCTGCTTGCAAAGGCAAAACAGTATTAAATCAAGCGAGAATGGGTCAATGGAAAGTGATGGCTTGACAAATGATTCCTCTTCAGTTGGGGATCCAGAATACCAAAATGGTAAAAGTCCAACACAGTCTGAACTAAGGACTCTTTCTCCAACCAATAGCCAAGATGACAGTCTTCCTTCCAAGTCTCCACCTTCTTACAACGGTCACGATGTAATGGGTGTGCCGAACAAAGAGTCGTGTGAAAATGGCTCCGTCGATCCCGATGGTGACGGAGCTCTAGATCTAACAAATGGCAATCTAGTACGCAAAATTAAAGAAGAACCAGGCCTCCTTCCCAATGGAGGAGACTTAAGTAAGTAAAAGTGATGGGTTTGTCTATCTTTTGCTAATGTGGTTTTTATCTTGCTTGGTATTGATGTTTTCATTTAGAAAGATGCATTACTTAAGAAATTTAATGCAAGCTCCAGAAGAAGACTGTGGTGTGTTTGGGGGGGGGGGGGACTTTATGTAGAGCAACAACATACATCCCCAGTCTTTGGCACAATTCTGGTCAATCAAAATGGCAAAATTTAAAATGGCATGGCTTTTTTTCTTTTTTTTTCTTGTAGCCACCTAAAATGCCTGAAATTCTATATGTCAAGAAATACAGTTCTAAAATGGATTTTTTTTTTTTTTTCTTTTTTTTTTTTTTTTTTTTTTCTCCCTAGACAGGAGTCCAAATGTGTACGTTGGTCCTCCACCCACACTAATCAAAGTGGAAATGCCAGGAGATCGTCTTTTGGGCCCCACACAATTCATCAGTCCACCAAATCTTTCCCCCGGCCTAACACCACTCATAGTCCCTCCTCGCCGCACAGCAAAGCAACATATCTGCCCCACGTGTACCAAGAACTTTTCTTCGGCTAGTGCTTTGCAGATCCACGAGAGAACTCATACTGGGGAAAAACCTTTTGCGTGCACGATATGTGGACGAGCTTTCACAACAAAAGGAAACCTCAAAGTAAGCTTTAACCAACTTCTGTTCCCCCTGTTTTTGTTCTTTTTAAAGTCTAAAGGTACACTGACTTATTTCTTAATGTGTATCTATAGTCAAAACTCCTGCTTATTTCTATCTTCAAATAGTGGGAAAAAGCTGTTTTTAAAACTCTTCAATAATGAGGTCATTGAAGCTTGGATGACCAGACCAGTGTCAGCATGACTAGAACTCTAATTTTACAGTTGGGCCTTATTAGGAACACACAGGTGCACATTCTTTAGATCTCTAATCTTGACATCCACTGGGCATTGTGCATGGGAACTTTAAAATTATTGCAATTTCTGGTCTACAAATGTGGTTATTGAACCCATGTAATAAGTGTTTTTGCTTCAGTGGGTTTTTTAAAAGGGGCTATGTCACTCTTTACTCATTTTAAAACCTAGTAATTTTTCTTTAAAGAGAACCCATTTCTTTTTTAAAATGGACTTAAAAAGTCAAACCTGCAAACTCTGCCCACAGTATTACCACAAATCAAACAATAAATGGGACTTTATTAATACTCACCCTCTGGAAATACTCAAAACAAGAAACCCTTAAAGTATGCATTTTATTAAACTGCTGGGGAGTATACCACTCATAGTCCCTAAAAACATTTATATAGTCAATCAGCTCAGCAACCCCTAGATTCAGACTGTCCATCACATGTATTGTATCTTATTATTTGCATAAGACCTAGCCATAACGGGAGGTGCTTGTACCCAATGTGTTTGGCCAGGTAGGCAGCTTCAGGGGGTCATGGGGTACTGCTGGATGTAGAAATGGGGTGCTGCTGGATGTAGAAAATTTAAAAACAAAATGTCACTTATGGTGGTAGAGACCCCAAGATGGGGTAAACTAGCAAGCCCAGCTATGGATCGCAGGGACCATCAGATGGTGGAAGTAATAACCCCCCCCATGCTAATTAAGCCTAAATTAGAAGGGGCATCCAATAAGAAAAGAGGTGCATCACATAGTGGCTCTTCTTACAAATTGCCTATACGGGGACATGTGCATCAGTAACACCACATATGACCAGCCACAGTATCTTAGTGTTGCCATTCCCTTGACATCTACTGGTAGGATGCTACATGGCACTGGTACATGGCCAAAGTATTGATGTGGTTTGACCAGATTTTGAAATCTTCTGTCAGTATAGTGTATTTTTTAACAGCCTTTTTTTGCTTTTGAGAATTAAAAATATTTTTTTTTTGTTTTGCTCCCTGTGTAGGTTCATGTGGGAACTCACATGTGGAATAACTCTGCCCGTCGTGGGCGGAGACTCTCTGTGGATAACCAAATACCTGCCTTGCCAAATGACAGTAAGAAAGTGCCTGAGATCTTTCCAAAATATTTTGTTCCTCCTGCGGTCAACATTGATGCTACTGTTTGGAATCAGTATGCTACCGCTCTTAGTAGCGGCTTGGCCTTGAAGACTAATGAGATCTCAGTAATCCAGAGTGGTGGCATTCCTACATTGCCAGTCAGTAATGGAGGTCCTTCCATCATCACCACAGCTACTGTCGCTAACCTGGACGTCAGTCAGGCTAGTGCAAGTCAGACTATAGCCAACAGGGAAGAAAAAAGTGCGGAGAGTGTGCCAAAACACCAATTTACACACTTCTTGGAGGAAAATATAGCTGTGAAATGACCTACATGGTAGCAGCCAAAACGCGTAGGTGGACACTTGACAATAGGTGGCTGGAATTTCCTGCACCTTATTTTGGGACCTTTTTGGTGGATTTCTTTTAGTGTGCCCATGAGTACAACCCATCATTGCCTCCTGGCACCAAAATAAGACAAAATGCACCTCCAGAGATGCTGCAAATAATGCAAGGCTAATGTGTGGACAGCATTCCTTTTTTTGGGTTTTTTTTTTTTTTTTTTTTGGTTTTTTTTTTTTTTTCCAAAGGTCAAAAATGTTTACCTTTTTACAAACCAATTTCAAGCAGTTTTTGCATTATGAACTTTAAAATGTGAGAACAGTCCTTCTGCCTATGTCTGGATTTTCAGAAAAAAAAAACGTTAAGTTAAAAAAATAAAATAAAATGCGGGTACAAATTTTGGAATCTGCCATCCTCTTAATTTAGAAGTAGATTTCAGAAATCTGGAACTGAAACATGAGTTTGCATTGCAGACAATGCGGTTTGGTGACTGCACGTGAGCAGACCATCCAATGTGGGTGACTGCACGTTCTCCGCGTATGCGTTAGGACTCGTTCATGTGGTTGCTGTCTGGGAAGAGTCGTAGGACTTGGAACACCTTATCACAACATTTACAGAGCAGTTGTAACAAATTGCTCTTCCAATCAGCTTTAAATGTTCTCTTTACAGTGAGCAGTATTATGTTTAGTCTACTTTTACAGGTGACCAGTAGTTGTTTGTGTTTTACGGTTGCTGTAAGAGTTGTTTAATTTTAAGTTATCTACCTCATTATTTTATTTCCTCCCTCTTGTTTAAATTCTACTGTAAAACTAACTGGTACTGGAAACACTCCAAGCACTGAAACTAGTTTCATGTTAGTTGGGTTACATATCTTCCTCTTCAACTACTGTGGGGGGATTTTTTTTTTTTTTTTTCTTAAACTTGGTATATGAAATGTTTTTTGGAGACATGTGACAAGGATATCGGACTTTTTTTTTTTTTTTTTTTTTTTTTTTTTGATCCTTCACTTTCTGAAAGGCCAAAAATACCTGCGCAGAGTACCAAAAATATCTATTGCACCTAGCTTGTCGCTTAAAATCATTGCCATTTTGTGCCTTTCTCAATGGACTAGTAACACTTTGAACATGATAGTTCCTGTTTACATTGTAAAGTTTAATGTTGCAAAGGCATTCCAGTGCCAAGATTCTGCAATGTGAATGTATGCCTTTTTAGGAATACTTTAGTGTTTTCGGCATCTACTGAATGTATTACTTGTTGGTTCCCTTTTTTTTTTTTTTTTTGTCCTTCTTGAAAATAAATTTTGGGATGGCTTTTTCTCATTGCACTGTCTATTAATGACTGGATAGTAAGTCTCTGGATTATTTTTTGTTTTACAGTATATGATGTTATCAATGAAAATGTAACTGGAAACTGTGTGTGTGTTTTTTTTTTTTTTTTTTTTTTTTTTCGTTCTGTTTTATTTTTCAGGATGGCCCACAAATGTAATGGCACTTGCCATACCATACTAGAAACATTCTTCCATTAGCCATGTGATAAGGCCCTGTGCACACTGGATGTTTTACAGCTCCTCCTAGGGGTGTCTGGCTTTTTTTTTCTTTTTTGGCCTCTAAATTCCCTGTGTCCATGCTCACATAAGCTTTTAGCAGTGTTTTTAGTGGCAGGAAAAACAAAACGCTGCCAGTGCGTCTACGAGCAACAGAGTTATGGGAGAAAAAGTGTTTGCTTGATATTTTTAGCACTTCAGGGTTTATTCAATTTTTAATAGCCAGAATAAAATTCTGGTCAATGAGATAAATGAACGCCCAAATACCACTCTGGTTGGAAAGGGGAGGGCAGCTTATGACAAGATTCTAATGCTGGGGTGTGTGTTATGTTTATTATTATGATTTTATTTTTTTCCCCTTTCCCCCTCCTGTTAGGAGTAATGTCATTTTTCTAATATACCAGTGTGCATGAGGCCTAAGAAGAGTCTTAAGGCTATAGTCCTACTATATTCTCGACTAATTGGGACTTTTTTTTTTTTTGTTTGTATGTGAATTTTTAGGTATAATAGCAAAGCAAGGATGTATCTATAGTGTGAATATAGCCCGAAATTGTATGCATGTTTTTGTGTATAAACTATGCCCTTGTTCTAGAAATTGAGCCAAATTCTCTTAACTGTAATATCTCACATGGTTTAATGTGTCTTGTCTCCTTTAAAGCTAATTGTCTTTTGGTTTTCTGTTTGTAAGAGCAGTGGCTGCTATGCCTCCTATTCCAAAGCCACTGGTCTTTGTATGTCCCTTCTGTAGTTCATTCTCCAGGAAACTGTGTTGCCATTCAACCCCACGGCTACCATTTTAAATTTAAAAAAAAAAAAAAAAGTACAATCTACAGAACATGCCTCTCACCCCACTGCAAAGCTAAGATAGGTCACATACAAGTTGTTTTTTTTTCTTTTTAGCCTTGCCATAGTCTAGACATAATAGGGTCTGGGGACACACTGAAGAGAATGTGGAGGGATAAAAAAAAAAAAAAGAAAATGCCATTATTGGTGCCACCAATCATCTCCTGCTGGTGTAGTGAAACAGCTTTTCTCAATTATCTAACTGCATAGTGGAGTATGCACTAATAACTTACAAAATTAGGAAAGCTTTATAACAAGACTTTCAAGAGGAAACAACTGTCTCTATCCTAGTCTTAGGTAGGGACTAAATGAAAAGATATGCTGTTTTTAATTTTATTTTCTTTAACTTTTTGGCCAAATGGGTTCAGAATTTTCATTTCGATGCACTGCTCCTTGTTTAAGTCTAGCGCCTGGGGACCATATGCTGATGTTCTCCTTCTATGTATGCCAAGAATCAAACATGGCTGCGGGAGGTGGAAAAGCTGCTTCACTGTTGCCTCCCTCTTTACTTATCTGGGGCACTGGCTGGGCCTGCGCATGCACCAGCTTCAACAACTGCTGATGGCTGCATTGCAAGAACAGGATCCGTAGAAGTTGGTGGCCAGGAAAAGACACCCACAGGCAGCCCCTGTTGAGATCCAACATGGGAGACTGTCTGTAAGCCATCAGATTTAAGACAGTCTGAATTCCTGGCATTCATCTTTAAAGTTTGGATAGTAAAGGTGAATTTTAAGTAGGGGTACTGTTACAGTTACCTTTTCGACTAATGTAACCATGTATCCACCATACCTGGCTGGCATTAGCTGTCAAAGGCGCCGCTTCTCCAGTGATCACAATTTTCTTCTGGGTCCTGAACGGAGTCACTGCTGCAGCTTACGTAAACACAGGAACTCGCTTGCTCCATATAGCTGCTGTTCCCAAAAACTTTGTTCTCAATTAATGTAAAGCATGCGGTCATTGTTTAAGGTGGAGACTGTGACATCACCATCCTGCCTCTTGACCTAGTCCAATTGGAGAATGCTTTCCATTGGAAAAAAGGCAAAGTGTTCTGTGAATGGTGCCTGGGCCAAGCAAGCAGCCTTCTGGATTGGGAAGGCAGAAGGTCTGCCACAGGCAAGGGGTCTTAGAAGCAAGTGCAGATTACTGGAGTTACAGTGCCTTTTTATAGTGCTTTCCAGCATCCATGTGGCTTGGTCTCATATATGCATAGTTACATTGCTCCAATGGACCCATTTAAAAAGAACTATACCTGAAATTCACCTTTTTACCAAAACGACAGCATGGTAGCAGTTAGCAATTGAGCTGTGACCAGTGGCGGACTGACAACTCATGGGGCCCTCGGGCAATAGGGGATCATGGGACCTATGAAAAAGGTACCAGGGGCATCTCATGGGGCCCCCTACTGATCCTGGGCCCTTGGGCAGTGCCTGAGTTTCCAAATGGTCAGTCCGCCCCTGCCTGTGACTACTTGCTCATGGGTTTCTATGGTCGACATTTATTTTCTGCGATAATGGTTTGTTGAGATCGGTTTCAAGAGATAGGACAGTTTGTCTAATCTTGCTGTAATGCATGACATCTTGGGGTTTATTTACTAAAGCTGGAGAGTGCAAAATCAGACTCACTTCTGCATAGAAACCAATCAGCTTCCAGGTTTCATTGCCAAAGCTTCATTGAACAAGCTGAGGTTAGAAGCTGATTGGTTTCTATGCAGAAGGGAGTCTTATTTTGGACTCTCCAGCTTTAGTAAATAAACCCCCTTGTGTCGAAAAGTACTGAGTAAAATTGGGCTCCATTCCCACTAGTGCAACTCCAAAGTAGAGGGACTTTAAAGAGTAACTTTGGATGGGTGGGACTTGGATGTGACTTCCCTTTTGACTAATGATGATGGACAACTGGTAACTGTATTACTTTCAGATGCATTTTTTTTTTTAAGGGTTTACATTGCAATCTTGTGGTACGCCAAGTCCCTTGAAAGTCAAACCAAAGTAGTGCAGGAACCTTAATTGAAAGTTGTACATATTTGAACAGTTATCATTGAAAAACATGGGGTGCAACTTGTACAACTTTCCAAAGTCGCAGGATAAGCTGCACAAATGTGAATGGAGCCATATAATTTTGACTGTCTTCATTATTATAAACAAATTATTATTTTTTTTCTAATCTAGAGCTATGAACGGAAAATAAAGCAGCAAGGTTTAGCGCTGGTGCATAAAACTTTGAGATTTTAGGTGTGGAAGGACAAGTACCCTTGCGCCATCCAGCCTGGCTGCCAGATGCCTGTTAATCTCTACAAGTGGCTGACTGTTACTGCAGCCCAATGGAGCACCCAGGACCAAATGGCCAGAACACGAGCAGTCTGTGCAACCGGCAGTCATTCCTAGGCGCATGCTGCCCTGAACATTTGTAGCACTGCAATGCACCATCCTCCCGTGGCAGCTTTCAGCTCTTTTATAAAGTTTAACGGGCTTCTGACAGCAGGGCTGGATGGTGTGCCTGTACCATTGTCTTGCAACAAAACACTGGGCTATCGTGCATTGGGGCTAAACTTCCATTTGCACGAATCTAATAAACCTGAAGTGACATCATAAATTATCTATAGAA